GTGATCTTAGCCAACCCAGCACTTCATCGCAACTTCTCTATACAGCTAGGTTCGTCAACCATAACTCCTTCTAGGACAGCAGGAACCTTGGAGTTGTGATTGATGATCAGCTAAGCTTCACAGCCCATATTACTACAACGGCCCGGTCCTGAAGATTTGCTTTATACAACATTAGGAAGATTAGACCCTTCCTATCAGTGCAGCCCTTACCAAAAAGTAGTATACTTCAAGTTTATTTTATTAAGTATACTTAAGTAAAGTTCAAGTATATTCCAAGCTCTTGTTCTCTCCAGACTGGACTATTGTAATGCTCTCTTAGCAGGCATTCCGGCATGTACTATCAAGCCTGTGCAACTGATCCAGAATGCTGCGGCAAGAGTGGTCTTCAATGAGCTGAAGAAAGCGCACGTCACACCTCTCTTCATCAGTTTGCACTGGATGCCGATAGCCGCTCGCATCAAATTCAAGGCACTGATGTTTGCCTACAAGACAACCACTGGCTCTGCACCAAAGTACCTAAACTCAATAGTTCAGACTTATGCGCCCCCCTGAAGCTTGCGTTCTGCAAGTGAACGACGCCTCGTGGTACCATCCCAAAGAGGCACAAAATCACTCTCACGGACCTTTACCTGGACAGTTCCAAGCTGGTGGAACGACCTGCCTATCTCAATTCGAGCAGCTTTCTTTGGCCATCTTCAAAGAACGCACTTGACTAACTAATGCTAACATTTTCTTATTCTATTTGTCTCTTTTTCTGAAAAAAAAGAAAGAAAGAAAGAAACTGGTATGTGTACTGTGCTAGACTAACTGAGACTTGTTACAGCACTTGTATATTGTTGTATACTTGCTTTGGATAAAAGCGTACGCTAAATGATTAAATGTAAATGTAATGTACATTTTACATGGAGGGAACTGTAACGGAGCCGACGAGACGAGAGACGTGCGGATCCATCTGCAAAGCTTTTATTTAAAGGCGTGGTCATAAAACAGGCAAGGTTCAGACAATGGCAAACAGGTATATGAGGGCAAGACGAAGAGTAATCCAAAACGGGCGTGAGTCAGTCGGCAGCAAACGTTATCCAGAGGGCTTGACAAGAGGGGAAATCCAATAACACGAGCAATAGTCCAGGCAGGAGCAAACAGAGTCCGAACGGCGAGACAAAAGGGCAATCTGAGAAACACAAGCAGGAATCAGAACACGAGAAAACAGGCAAGGCAAAACTAAGACTAAACTATGAAAACTAGAAATGGCTCCGCAGGGTAGCTATCGCTAGGTGAGTGATATGCGCTAAACAATACTCGGCCTTGAATGGTGGTGTGAGACTGATTTATATATTGTGTGTTATTGGTAGCAGCTGTGTGTGATTGGTTTCAGGTGAGATTGTAATTAGTGCAATGGAGCATGGGAAATGTAGTCCAGGGTGATGTGTAACAGTCTGTGTAGTGTGAGAGTCAATGTAGTGAGCGGGTGACCTCTGGTGGTGAGTGAACGGAAGTTCATAGACCGGATTCGTGACAGGAACAAGCAAATTGAAATTGACAAAACAAAGTAGTTTTGCTTAGGACAATTTTTAAGATAACAGTTGAGAAAACCTAAAAATCTGAATGCATCTGAATTCAAGTTTTGTTGAAGTTTCCTTAATACCTTGTTTTACAGTGTGTTGTAAAGCAGCTTTAGGAACAAAGAATAGTGCCTTTCAAACCACTTTACAAAGCCTTCATAATATCCACATTTGGACCATATGGACCATTTGACCAAGTGAAATTTCTTAACTAAAACGTTATATCATCCTAAGACATAAAACTAAGGGCCATTTGCATAAATATGCTCACTATGACTGTCAAGAATGTTTCTTAATAACTATTTTGATCAGTTAGCAGTTAACCAGGGGTTAATCAGTATTGCTTATCAGACTCAAATTAGGCTACTCTATATTTTTATGTAATTATTTTTGTATAATTATTTTTTTATCAATATAACATTAATGGCCAGTCTTAAAGAAGAAGAAAAATTAGATGCCTTGTAAGACTAGTCTAAGCAGTTTATGCAACCGGCCACAGGACTATAGACCTAGCCATTATCTTACCAATAAACACCTTGATAAGATCAATAAAAAATCAATTCCATACCATCTACCTTGAAACATGCAAACTAACAGTAGGCGTGTGTGAGTGATGGAGGAAGATCACAGTCATATATTAGAGCAGGTGTCGCTAAACGTTTCGACAGTTTAGTTTCAGAACTGCTCTTTACTCCACGTGGCTCCAAACAGATTTCCATCATGGAAATAAAAGATAAAACTTTCTCTTCCTGTGCACAGATTATGATCCTGGCACTTCTAGCATGCAGGTGTTCAGCAGGTATTTAATCACTTTTGATATTCCGTCACTCTGCTTCCAATTTAATGCATAAAGCTTCCTTAGATTATTTTCCTGACATTTTAATTACTGGTTTGATAGTACTTTAGAAATGACTTCCCTTTTTAGCCCACTGAGAGGTTAATAATTACTCTGTCATGGAGCTGATGTGAGACTGTATGCGTTATTCACTTTCTATCTATCTTCTAAGTCTAAGTCTTTTAATTTTAATTCATCCAATGCAATGTAGGTAACGCATTCACAGAAATGTATTTGTCACTCCAAAGTTGTGCTTCCATGTCAATACAGTGAGTCAAGTTTGTTGATGTGTGCCACTGTCTTGTTTGTGTTGTTGGGCTTGTTTCAGGGTTTGTTTTGTTTCTGCAGTTAAATCTCGTCCCCTGTATTGTGCTGCTTCATCTCCTTCACACAGCACTCCAGTTTCTGGTAAAGGAATCTACAAGAATCTTGTGATTGAATAAGACAGAGAGAAAAGAAATTAAGATCTAAGCTTGATTTAATTGTATAAACTGTCCTATCATCCTTCTCACAGTCCATTCTCTGAGGCCAGCTGATGTGTCTGTGGTATCTGCACTGGTTTTGTCTGATGTGGAGAGGTATGTCCAAATTTATCACAAGTGCATTAAAATAACAATTAAGCTTCACTGGAGTTGAGGAAATGTAAGGTCGAAAAACTTACTAACATAGACCAGCACATTAGGTTAACTAAAGTTAATTAATACCTAAATTCAGGTCATGCTCTGATTTTAATAGAGAGTTTTGTTATTCCATATTTAAAATGAGAACAGAATTATGTAATAATCAGAATATGCATATTATCATTGCATAAATCAAACTGGCGATTCATTAAAATTTTTTGATTTAATTCATTCATTTCCTTAATTCAAATGCTATTATTATGCCACTCAAAATGATTAAACATGGTGTTTTTTATGGCAGATCTGATGAAATTAGAGCCCTCAACATGCTATCTGGTAAGGCTTCAATCTTATTCTATAGAAATAAACAGACACATAATACCATTACCTGCATTTAGTATTGTACTCAAATTGCATTCGAATTACATTGTTGAATCTGCATGCCTTTCACTTACCTTTTTTTTTTTTTTACTAAGTAACACATTGATTGAGCTCACAAAGACCCATCACATGTTTCTGTGTGATTGTCAGGCTTGATTAAACCAGATCTTTATATAAAGGTTTTGGAAAGATTAAGCCTGAGTCCTTGAAATGAAAGTCAAGGCCAGAGGAGAGATACACGCAACCATGTATCTGAACAAACAACACTCTGGTTTTCAGATGTTAATTTTCTGAGATAAATGATAAATGACATGACAAGAAAAAAAATATAGGCTATGTATATATATATAGAGAGAGAGAGAGAGAGCGAGAGAGAGAGAGAGAACATATATTTTATTACAAGGAGGAAATCCTTCAAACATGTCCCTATCTCAATCAAATGTGATAATATTGTCTTATCTTGCACACTTAAGAACTTTGTTTTGGGTTTTGCATCGGTTGGCCTGATACTATTGGTCTGTTCACTACTGTTTGTGATAGAGTTATCGACGGTTGGCTGCTCTGATGTCCTCTGGAAAACCTCAGAGGAACAGCTATCTTTATTTCTCCTCTTATAAATGCGACATTGTTTAGTGTTTCTGTAAATTCTGTTCAAGTTTATCTTGAGGAGTTAAGGTATATATACAGTGCGTATATATATACTACAAAAAAAAAACACACACACACACACACACACATACATTGATACACGTTGATACATGTGTGACTTTTGAATATCTGTGCTAAAATAGTTTGACATTGTCAAACATTATATGTGTTTATTGAACAGGAATCTATCAGTGCTCTTCTAGAGAGAAGAGGCTGGTTCAGTGACCGAGAAGATTTCAGCGTAATGCTTCAGTCCAGTCCAGTACACACCGATCTGTCAAACCCAGTGAGTCTATAACACTCAGAGATCATTTTAAACAGGCCACTAGATAGATAGATAGATAGATAGATAGATAGATAGATAGATAGATTTGAATAGTGAACATTATAGATGGCACAATTTACACAATATGCACAAATATCAATGACCTATTTCACATGTATTATGTTGAACTAAAAAGTATTACATTTATACTGGTATAATAAAAAGTTGCATTAAATTTGTGCATTATTATATTGCACATGTATTGCATCAAGAAATTTTGATGTATTGCATCAAGGCCACAACCAGTAGTTATTAAATAAACTTGTGTATTTTACTTTATTTTATAAATGTAACCTTTCTAGTGATTCACTCAGTTAGACTTGTATGGAGACTTGAGAGTAGGCCTATGTTATTTGTTTTTGAATCAATCTGCTCTTCTAAAACCATAGATATGACTCGCGCTGTGCTACAGAGATGTCTCACTTGTGCTGCATCTGAACTTTCAGGTGACGGGGAGTGAGCTCACCTGTGAGGACCGGTCTCCATCTCCCAGCATACCTGCCTCAGGTAAACAGAGATCTTACACTTGTAGTAGGGGGAGAGCGGGGCACAAAGTAACACTTTTTGACTTTCTCAAATTGTGTAAATCCACATGGGCTTCAGAGTATAATTTTTTTTATCCACAGTAATTTCACACTTATCTAGTACAAATATGTTGCTTTGATTCATAATTACAGTGTATACGTTTTTCTTTATTTACCCTCAAAAATTGGAAGTGAAATGTGACAACTTGCCCCGTAGGTGGGGTACATTGTAACAGCTGAGGGGCACGTTGTAACATGACCATATGACAGCTTAAAATGTTATCTGATCTTTTCATGTTTTCAGATGAAAGCCTCAATGTCTGACTCCTCACGTGACATAAGCATGTTGACTTTACAACTCTGGAATAATTTGGTAAGTTAATATTAATGCAGTCAACACGTGTACATTGTTCCTATAGAGGTAGATGTGAAATCCTGGACTCTTTACTTTCAAGTTATAAAAGTTCAAAGTGTTAAAGGCCCTGAGGTGATTGATAACAAGTAGACTGTTAATCAGTACAGTCAGTACTGTACTGTACTGTACAATTAGACAGTACAGTCTAATCTGAACCTTATTCAACCTAGAAACCCATCTAGAACCACCTATCTAATCTTGCCTTTATATGACGAAGAACTGGAGCCTTTTTTCTGACCAATCATAATTATTCTCTTTCCAGCTGCAGCCAATGACAGACAAGACTGAGATAGATGGGCGGGGTATATTCACCATTCCATGCCCCACTGAGGTGAGGGAGATATTTGATTTATTTATGATCTCCTTAGCATTCATAATGCGAATTGCTGAATCAGAGTGGGTTCATACATATGCCTTTATCTCACCAAAATGTTCCCGAACTATATGTTTTATGCAAGTGTTTGTCCTTCACCTGTGATAAGGTGAAGTGAATTTCAGTTCCATTTCATTTATGTAGCACTCATGTTTGTGATGTGACACACAAGGTTCATAATGTGTATGTTCAAGTCTGGATGATTTTCTTTTTCTAAACAGACATAAACATTCACATATGCTTTACTGAACCTGTTGTTCTGTCCCAGGAAAAGCAGTTTTTGCGAACGCAGAAAAACTCATACTCACCTGAGCTCGGTATCTCTCAAACAGAGGATCCCTCTCCACTTCTCAACACAGTGAGTCCATTCTCACCATAAATTCGCCCTGTTACTTTGACTTACAGTATGTCTCACTTGTGCTGCATCTGAACTTTCAGGTGACGGGGAGTGAGCTCACCTGTGAGGACCGGTCTCCATCTCCCAGCATACCTGCCTCAGGTAAACAGAGATCTTACACTTGTAGTAGGGGGAGAGCGGGGCACAAAGTAACACTTTTTGACTTTCTCAAATTGTGTAAATCCACATGGGCTTCAGAGTATAATTTTTTTTATCCACAGTAATTTCACACTTATCTAGTACAAATATGTTGCTTTGATTCATAATTACAGTGTATACGTTTTTCTTTATTTACCCTCAAAAATTGGAAGTGAAATGTGACAACTTGCCCCGTAGGTGGGGTACATTGTAACATCTGAGGGGCACGTTGTAAAATCACCATATAACAGCTTAAAATGTTATCTGATCGAATTAAAAAAATATACAAGACAAACTAAAATATTTTGTCAATAAAATACAATAATTATTTATTTCAAATAAAATAATGGCGTTTTTTAAGAATTAAAAATAATCTGATTTTGGAGTTTGACAATGAACACATTGCAACCATGCTTGGGACGGCCCACATAAACGAGCCAAAATGCTTTACATGTCTTTATTCACCTGTTTCTCGTCGTTTATCATTAAAATGTATTAAAGTAAATAGTGTGAATTACATCGCTAATGTCATAGAATAGCACAGCAGGGCACATTGTAACGCAGTGTTACAACATACCCCATCTGCGCAACTGGAATTTAAAACTGGTTACTGTCTTCTGATAGTTAGCCAAGCATTACAAAATAATTTAAACTGATAAATAGCAGATTGGAGATTAAAATAATAGCAGATTTGTCTCATTTTAAATGAGTAATAAAAACTGAGATGAAAAATGTACTTAAGCCAGAAATATAATTTTACTATGGTAAAATAAATGTTCAGCGATATCTTCAAAAGACTTTTTAATTTTGGCGCACTTTTTTTCTCTATATAATGTTGATATAGTAACTAGTAAATGCTGTAAATTTGGTTATGCTAGCATGTGTGGGAAATATTTAAAGCACGTGTGTTACAACTTACCCCGCGTTACTTTGTGCCCCGCGCTCCCTTACACCCTGGCTGGAAATTCTAGGAGTTTTTTTAAGTTTGTTTCTGTCTGTCTCTTCTGTAGTCCATGCCTTACGGCCAGCAGACATCAAAGTGGTAGCAGCGATGGGTGATTCTTTGACGGTGAGGTGATAATTGATAAACATAAACATTTAAATGTATTGATGGTATTTGCTAATACTGATAATTTTTTTACAAATATGCACTACCATTGTGATTTTTAAAATGTTTTTTAAAAGAAGTCTCTTATGCTCACCAACCCTAACCCTATTTGAATATATTGGTGATGATGGCAAAGCTACATTTTCAGCAGTCATTATTCCCGGTTGCGGCTAGAAGGGATACAGCAAAAACCGGAGGCTAACAATAAATTGAATTTTCTACCGATTAGATTGTGTTTTATTAACGTCTACACCTACCCCAACCCTAAACCTACCCCTTAAAATAATACAAAAATAGTAATTATTGTTGTACAGTGTGAGAAACATTGCACTATATTGATGTGCGCATGCCCAGTAGTTTTTTGCTGTATGCCATCTAGCCTTAACCACTATTCCCGTTTACATTGTCACATGATCATTTAGAAATGATTCTAATACGCTGATTTGGTGCTCCTGAATTTCTTATTATTGCTGATGAAATAGTTGTGCTACTTATAATTTTTGTGTAAACCATGATGTATTTTTTTTCAGGATTCTAGGTGTATTTTTTTCAGACACTATATTTCAAGTAGTAATAATTTGAAACATAATAAAAGGCTTTACTGTCACTTTTGATTATTTTAATGCATGGTTGCTAAATAAAAGTATTGACCCCCCCATAAAAAAAAAAAAAAGGCATCCAATGGGGTTGGTGCTGCACAAAACAATCTCCTGGGAGTGCTCACAGAGTATCGCGGCCTGTCGTGGAGGTGAGTGTCTACCCTGATCACTCTGTAAACCATCTGTTAATTACACATATATGTTGCTGGATTAGTTTTATCCATATGATTTACAGGATTCAATTCTTATCTAAATGATCAATGATCTCATGAAGCACAAGACAGATAGATTTCATTTTTTGTTCTCAGCATCGGTGGAGATGAGAACATAACAACTATAACCACTTTACCAAGTATGTGCAAGTGCTCATGTTCCTGTCATGCTCTTATTATTATGTACTGTAGATTTATGATTAATCATTAATTAGGAATATAATCAACTCAGAAATTATTGTAGTCATTAAGTGTTTTAAACCACATAATGGCTGATCATGACACAAGAGTTTATGGTGTAAATAGCTGCTTTTTAATCTCTACTATATACTACGTAACTTGAAGTAGTCTAAGGGTGAAGTTAGAGATTAAGTATTATTCTTGAGTCCCTCCTTAAAAAACAGCAAGCCAAATATGTTTACCCTTACCAATCTCTTTATCTTTTTCACTTTCAGGGATTAGATGGACATTCAAATCAGATTTAGAGTGATTATGTGTGTATAAGATAATGTTTTTTTGTCATTTAGATATATTGAGAGCGTTTAACCCTTCACTCACTGGCTATTCATTGGGAAAAGGAAGTGCGAATTCTGTACGCAGTTTTCTGAACCAAGCAGTACCAGGAGCCAAATCTGAGTGAGTAGCTTCTCACATTATAAACCAGTGACTGAATAAATGATTGATTGAGTATGAAGCATTGTTTATTTATTTACTTATTTATTTATTTTACATTAACACACACACACGTTTTCAATTTTAAAATGTAATTTATAGCAATGATGGCAAAGCAAGAGTTTATGGTGTAAATAGCTGCTTTTTCATCTCTACTATATACTACGTAACTTGAAGTAGTCTAAGGGTGAAGTTAGAGATTAAGTATTATTCCTGAGTCCCTCCTTAAAAAACAGCAAGCCAAATATGTTTACCCTTACCAATCTCTTTATCTTTTTCACTTTCAGGGATTAGATGGACATTCAAATCAGATTTAGAGTGATTATGTGTGTATAAGATAATGTTTTTTTGTCATTTAGATATATTGAGAGCGTTTAACCCTTCACTCACTGGCTATTCATTGGGAAAAGGAAGTGCGAATTCTGTACGCAGTTTTCTGAACCAAGCAGTACCAGGAGCCAAATCTGAGTGAGTAGCTTCTCACTTTATAAACCAGTGACTGAATAAATGATTGATTGAGTATGAAGCATTGTTTATTTATTTACTTATTTATTTATTTTACATTAACACACACACACGTTTTCAATTTTAAAATGTAATTTATAGCAATGATGGCAAAGCTGATTTTTTTAGTAGCCATTACTCCAGTCTTATGTCGCATGATCCTTCAGAAATATTTCTAATACGCTGATTTGATGCTCAAGACACATTTATTAGTAGTAGTAGTGTTGAAAACAGTTAAGCTGCTTAATATTTTTCTATTTTTCTATTTTTCAGGATGTTTTAATAAATAGAAAATTCAAAAGAACAGCATTTATTAGAAATATAAATATTTTTTAACATTATAAATGTCTTTACTGTCACTTTTGATCAATTGAATGCATCCTTGCTGAATAAAAGTATTTCTATCATGACAACTCTCTGAAGATTTAAGTATGGTAATGGATATGACAATGTTAATGTATTTGGTCTTGGCGGAATAGATCTGCTACGCTGCTGCTGCTGAATTGCTGCTGCTGTTGGTTATTGCTGTTGTTGAAGATTATTGCAAAGCAAGTACAGGAAATTGCTACTGGCAATACATGTGCCGATATGGTGCTCTGCGTATTTAAGACATGCTGCTGCTGCACAAATAGCATTTAAAATAACCCGTAGCAGATTTATACAAGTGGAGCTGGGGAAGGTGGAGGGTTTCAGAGGTTTCATATAAATGTAAAGCAGTAAGCTCATTGGCTGCGTATGCAACATAAACCAATCAGTTTGTGCCAAGTAGTTGCGCTGTGAATATCATCAGTTTGCATTAATGACCCACCAGCCTGTGCCATCTAGAGTTTCATGACAGAACATGGCATTCATTTCTTTAAAAAAAAAATTGAATACTGTAAAATTACTAAAATGTGATTTTTCATTTTGCAGTGATATGGTCACACAAGCTCATGCTGTCATTAAAAGAATGAAAGAAGACTCGGTTAGTCATTCTCAAAATCTCAAACATACACACATTTGCTTTTCTTTTGTGGTTGAAAATGTTGTCATACTGTTATAATGATATTTTCGATCCTCATATTTTCATTAAGGTATTGTTTCGTTTGTATTTTTATTGAGCTATTTTCTTTCTGTAAGATATTAAGATTACTATTGTTGTGAGGGATATTTAGTCCCCCACAATAGGCAAAATCTGACCCACACACAGGGTGCTAAATCTGAACCTCATTCAGACTGTCTGAAAATTTCTGTCTCTTTTCAGCGAATTGATTTCCAGAATGACTGGAAGATTATCACAGTCTTCATTGGAGGAAATGACATATGTGCCCACTGCTCTGATACTGTACGCTGATATTAATAGAGCTTGTTTTATTTATTATCAGAGTTTCAGTAATAGATCTGCAATTACTGTCGCTATCTCTCTTTATCACTCTCTCTCTCTTTCTCTCTTACCTCAGCGGTACTATTCTCCTGATAACATTGTGAAGTATATTCGTGAGGGTCTGGACATATTGCATAATGAGGTGAGGCAATTTTAGCTCTAGTGCTCTATGCCATTTTTTTTATACAGATTTTGTTTCCGAAATACAGTGGGGTCCAAAAGTTTTTGAAAATCAGGTATTCAAAATGTAAACCTTGAAATAAAGTTTTAAGATTTTGAAAAATGTGAAACAGACAAACGAAAAAAGAAACTACTGTGATGTGTCCGATTATTGATGATTGTTTTATTGAAGATATTTATGTCTGTGAAATCTAAAGTGTCTGAAAAATAAAAAACTTAATCTAAAAAAAAAGAATAAATTAAGATTCTGATTAATTTTCATTAATCATGTATGCAAATTTAATTCATTTTGTTATGCTGGAAAATATAATTTGTAAAGAAAAAATGGTATTAAATAAGAAAAGTGTTAAAAAATAATAGATAAAATAGATTGGTTTCAGACTTTTGGAGCCCATTTTATATTTCTCTTCATATATCTTATTTATTTTAAACCTATTTAATGTTTGTTATGATAGGCCTGCATTGTAGCAGAAACAATGGTTAAAACCAGATTATTGGTAACAATACGCCATTGTAAATCCCTGCTGCCTGTTGGAATTAATCATGTCTCCTTCTCCAGGTCCCTCGTGCCCTGGTGAACCTAGTGGAGCTCCTGGATATAATTCCACTGCGCCGTCTCCATCAGGACCCCACTCTTGGATGCCCTACCTGGCTGATCAAGTGAGTTTTGCCCTATATACTGATTCTCCTGATTTCTGCTTGATTCAGGTCGAAGAACTGAATTCTGACGCTTTGGGTACATGTTAGTCTTGCATTATTTTGCTTTGTGTTTTATTTTTTCAGCATGTTGTGTCGCTGTGTTCTGAAACCTAAAGATGGATCTCATGAATTCCAGAAGTTGCAGGAGTTTAACCAAGCCTATCAGGTACACAACATATGACATGAAAATTAATTCATTTTTGTGTAAACATCTGTATATTAATATTTATTATGAGTGTTATTATTTATAATACAAAGTAATTGTACAGTTTAAAATGTTTATATTATTAATATTAGTATGATTCTAAAATGTAGCTGTGCTAAAGTGCATATTAATATTCAATGTATTCTGTTGTGTTTTATTCTCAGCGTGGTATGAGCGAGCTGGTGGAGTCTGGGCGATATGACACACATGATAACTTCACCGTGGTCCTACAGCCATTCTTCAGAAATGTGTTTCTCCCTGTGTTGGAGGTGCACAGCAATCTTACATCATTTACTGCATGAGCTATCCTTTCTTGAACTATTTGTACTCATTATCTTTGACATTTTTTCCATGTTCTTTTAGGATGGGAGGCTTGACCGTTCCTATTTCTCTCCAGACTGTTTTCATCTCAGTCAGAAAGCTCACACGCTCATGGCTCGGGCTCTCTGGAATAACTTGGTGAGCATATGATTTAAGCTTAGATACACATATGTTAATGTATAAGCCTGATAATATTTTATTAATATATTGTATGTAATTAGTTTTACAAGCATGTTGTATGCTTGTATGCATTTATTATTTTCATTTTTAATATATTATTTTATTTACTGTAAATGACTGAATGCTATTCAGCAATAACCTCTTTGTAGAGGTGTAATTGAATTGTGTTAATTTAAAATACAATTCAGCAGGGAAAAATTTCACAGCATCTTAACTCTCAAAATGGATTTCCAGTTTTATTAATTCGTTCTCTCTCTCTCCCACATACTGTAGATGGAGCCTTTAGGTAATAAGACAGACAGTGAGGATTTTACTGCAGGTGTCCCTCTTAAATGCCCAGAAAAGGTGAGTTTAAACTCTGTAATCCTTCTGTAAACTCTGTAATTCTGTCACATTGTAATACTTTTTCATATTCTTCTTTAGTTGTCACCCTATTTGAGGACCTATCACAACAGCAATTACACATACAACACCCCTCCTCCTACTCCTCCACCCACAACTGTAAGTCACATAAATATATTACATACAATATTAATGAAACACAATACAACCTTAAAGTGATAAAAATTCATTATGAAATGATTCTTCCCTTTCACTTCAGAATTGGGGAAGTGATTTCACATGTGTGGACACAGCATCCTCTGACACTGTGCCAACATCTGGTAAGAAAGAGAGAGGAGAGAAATTAATTTTCTAAATTTTTCCCACCAGATAACTTTCCAACTCTCTAACTAACTATTTCTCCTTGTCTTGTATTTTTATATAACAAATCTTTTTTTTATCGCTTTAAAGTATTACAGCATTAAAGTTATTAAAATTCAAATGTTTTTACTTTATTTTTACTTTGCTAAATTTTATTTTGGTATTTAATTAACAGATATATATAATATATATATACAACACACACATACAGTATACATGTATATTCTGTTAATGAAATAGCAAAATGTAAAAATGTTGCATGAATTTTAAGAAATAAAATGCTGCAATACTTAAATATTAAGGAGGATACAATTGGTGATAGATAAAAATTACTAGAAAAATGAGAAATACTGAATATGTACATAGGTTTATGGATAGAGACAAAGACGTAAGACAGGCTTCCAGATATCCTGCCATTGTTTGTTATCTTTCTAGGTACAAGTAGCTCTGCATTGTTGCTTTGTTGTTGTGTTTAGGTGTCCAGGTAATCACAGTTGAGATAAAGTTTAGATATAGAATTGTTATGTATTAACATAACCCCACATATGCTTCCGTCTATCTGCCGCTGCTCTCTATTTTTGTTTTGGTTTGTTTTGCCGTTTTGGATTATACCTTTTGGACATTGTGAATTTTATCACCCTTTATCAGAGGATTACATTCTACATGTTTCATGGAATTTGCGTTATGGACTTTCCTTGACTTTTTGAGTTAATGAGTGAACGCTGATCGCTGTCTGTCTGAACTTCTTTTACAAAGACTTAATCATGTAGCTGGGTTTCTGGGGTCTGTGCTGAAGTGGTTTGCCTCTTACCTCAAGGAGAGAACTTTTTCTGTTAATGTAGGTGAATGCTTCTCATCTTGTGCACAAATCTCTTATGGTGTTCCACAGGGTTCCATTTTGGGTCCTCTTCTTTTTGCATTATATGCTTCTGCTATAGGTAATATTATTCAGAGACACAACTTATCTTATCATTTCTACACTGACGACACTAAGCTTTATCTTCCTGTTAAAGATAACAGCTGTTCTGTGTCCAGTGTTTTTGATTGTCTGCGTGACATAAAATGCTGGATGGATATGATTTTTTTTTTACAGCTAAACAATGACAAAACTGAAATAATCATCTTTGGCCCATCGGTTCTAACCTCTGAAATTGTCAGTCACCTTGGTCCCCTCTCTTCTAAAATGTACATGACTGTGTCAAATACCTTGGTGTTACATTTGGTCCCACCTGTGTTTTGATGAACAGATTAGCGCCGTCATGAAAAGTAGTTTCTTTCAGTTAAGATCTATTTCTAGACTCAAGATGATGATTTCTAAGGAGGAACTCAAAACCGTTATTCGTGTTTTCATAACATCAGGAATAGAATACTGTAATTCGCTCTACCTAGGTTTGCCTAAATCAGCTTTAGATTACTTACAGATTACTGACCAGCACTAAAAACGTGAGCACATTACGCCTGTGCTCGCCTCTCTTCACTGGTTACCAGTTAAGTTCTGTGCTGTTTTTCAAATTTTGCTCTTTGTTTTTAAAGCTTTGCATGGACTTGCACCTCAGTACATTTATGATCTTCTCACTCCGTATACTGCTTCAAGACCCCTTCGATCATCTAGTCAATTCCTACTCTCAGTTCCTTGTTCTCGTTTTAAAGTTAAAGGTTATAAGGCTTTCTCAGTGGCTGCCCCTAGTGTTCCTTTCTATATTAGATCTACTCCTTTTATTTCTATGTTCAGATCATCTTTGAAGATTTTTATTCTGTGTGTTTTAATTCTTCCTGAGAGTGTAAATTTTCATTTGTCCATTTGGTTGTGTTTTGTATACTGTCTAGTTTTTATTTTGTTTTAATCCTGTTGTATATTTCCTGTACAGCACTTTGGTTTCAATAACTGTCGTTTTCAAATGTGCTCTATAAATCAATAAACTAAACTAAACTAAACTATAATATTTTATTAATATATTGCATGTAATGAGATTTGCAAATGTTTTTCAAGTATATAATTTATTTATCGTATTTATTATGTTATTTTAATGTCTATTTATTTTATTTTGTGTAAATGACAGAATGTTTTAAAACATATTAAGGAGGATAAAAAGAAAGATTAATAACAGATAAAAAAATACAAGAAAGAGGAGAAATAGTAAATATGTACATAGGTTGATGGATAGAGATGAGCAGGCAAGACAGGCTTTCAGATATCCTGCCATGGTTTATTATCCTTTTAGGTTCAAGTAGCACTGCACAGTTGCTTTATTGTTGTATTTGGGTATCGAGGTAGTCACACAATCACATTTCTTTCTCAGTTCACAGGCTGCGTCCAGGTGACATTAAAGTGGTAGCATCTCTGGGAGATTCACTTACTGTAAGTGTGTGTGCATATTTGTGTATGTTGCGATGTTTTGTCATGCTGTAATTACCATTCTCTGTCTCTGAATCTGTCAGGCCGGCTTTGGTGCAAAAGCTGAAAACCTTCTGCAGTTGGTGGATGAGGAGCGAGGGGTTGCATGGAGGTGAGTTTGTGTCAGTCTACTGTATGCCTATGGAATTATTTTGTTCTGCATGTTTTCTAAGTGTCTGTGTTTAATTTAATTGACAGCATTGGTGGGGATGATACTTTGGAGACTGTCACCACATTGCCAAGTGAGTATAACCTTATGTAACACTTTATGTCATTTTATTGGTTGTTATTAGCACTGATTACACTCTAAAAAAATGCTGGGTTGTTTTAACCCAACTTTGGGTCAAATATGGACTAACCCAACTGTTGGG